AGCGGTCACTAGCGCTCAAAGGTGCTTGGCACGAGCCTTTAGTGACCTGGGTGACCCTTCCAAAACGTTGATCCCTATCCGTTCTGTCTCCCAATTTTGGAACCAGCCTATCTGGGATCCTTAAGGGCTGAGGTATCTATCTCCACATAAACCAATTTTGTTTTGACCCTGGGGATGCTGGAACCCAAAGGGGTGTTGTCTCAATACCTCGGATAGCACTTCATCTAGGCTGTCAGAAGTGGGCACCCCAACTTTAGAACCCAAGCAGAGAGCCCTTCAAACAAACATCCTTCCTGAAAAGAAGGTAATTTTGTTGTTGTTAATGAGAGTACCCCGCCCCCACCCCTTTTGCTCTACTTGGACTTCCTTAGCCTGATTCCCTCCTCTCTGGCTAGGAAAAGGATAAGCAAGGGGGGACATAAAGAACTGGACAGAAAGAGTTCGTCCCACGAGCAAGGGAAAACAGAATTCCCTTTTCCCTTGTCTCGACTTCACTTTTGTAAAAACGGCTAAAACGACCGTTTGATTTGAATGTGAGAAGAGCACAGGAAAAACAGCCAGCGCCTGAGAAGCTGGAACCAGTTCAAATACAGCCTGTCCCACACAGGAGCCAGGGGAGACAAAATGGCTGTTCTCTTCGTCATAGTCCACTGGCTTTCCTGTGATGAGTGGGGTCCCCTGGGTCTGAATCTGTAGATGTGAGGATCCAGGGGCTTTGTTTTTAACTCACTCTTTCAATGGTCACTTGCCCTGTCTTTGAAATTCCTTGATAGTTCAAAACAGAGAGACATGTTAGATCAAACTGCCCCAGCCCACAATTGAGCCTTTCGGGAGCTTCACATTTTTGAGATGTTTGAAATGGAGAAGAAACAAGGGAGTTCCAAAATCCAAGCTAATATTTCCAGTTAGATGCTTGCTCGCTGCATTTGAACCTTTTAATCACATGGTCTATTTCAGTTGATGTAGACTAACTTGGCCTCAGAGAGAAGAGCACTGTGTATTTAAATTTTGAGGGGAAATAGTTCCATCTTAAATAAGAGTAGTACTCTCACTCAGCTTTCTTCCTTTTCCTGTAATCATGAGCTTGGGGGGTTTCCCTAAAATTTGTGTGAATGCAAATAAGAATAAACTT